ATGTATCTGTTGGATATGTATGCATTGTCTCACGGCACCTTTTCAGCCTATGCTTCTAATTGGTTAGACCGGTATTCTCAGAGCTGTCATTATTTCCAAGTCCTGCTTATTATCCTCATAATTTTTCTTTCTCTCCTCTGACAATGGAGTAAACACCATACCAGGCTGCATGTAGTCTAGAAAATTACATGACCTATAATTCTTTTACTCAGAATACAGGTAAATCAGATATTCATGTTTTCTATCTAAATGTAATTTTTTAATAAGTATTGTCTTCTTTTTAAAAAGACCAGCTTTCAGAAATCCTTCATGAACTGCTTTAATTTTCTTTCTCTGCACTCATGCTCTGCTGCCCAAAGTTCTCACAGTACACATCCACAACATTTTTTCCCCAATAGATGTGGCAAAACCAAAACAGCCACAAAGACTATCTAGAGAGGCCAAATTTTCACTGAGCCTCTCTAGGATGTCATCTTGATTGCAGATGGGAAAAGGGTTACTTAGCCCCCCAACAGCAGTTTGGAGGAACTCTGTTCCTAGACCAGTTCCAGTTAAATGTATTATGCAAAAAGAGTGATTGTTTCACTGCAGGAAAAGGATTGAGCACTAAGCAACACAACATGCTTAATAATCTGACTTTCTTAGAAAAGGCATGTTAATCAGCAAGGAAGATTTGTTTGGTTTCACTTGTGTAGAGTTCTTTACCATGAACCTGTATCAGTAAGTACAGTATATATTTCCCAAGTGACTGCATGGTATAAAACATTGTTTAATCCTTTATGGAACAACATTAAGGGCTAAAAATACATAGATGGTTCTAGTTAAAACAGTTTTCTATCACATGGCACTGACCAAATGTTTACTTTAACTTCCATCACTGTCAACCAGCAAAGCAATGGAAGTTGTAGTACAACAGATCTGGAAGGGATCAGGTTAGGAAAGGCTATTCTATCTCTGCAGATGATTATGAATTTTGCACATTTTCCCATCACAAAAATTACATGGTATGAGATGTGATGGAACATACAGAGCTTCTGAAATTAGGCAGTTTATAAAGTTAATACATACATACCCGCATAAATACATGCATACAAATAATGGAATTTATTGGCAAATTTCCAATGAATACAAATAAAATAGGCCAACTGGATGTGAACTGATTAAGTACAATTGCAACACCATGCTCATGTCAGTCAACTTCATGGAACCACAGCACAGCTGAACACTAGCTGTGCTGATGTTGCTGTTTATATACTACCAGAGATTAAAACAGTCTATACATTTGATAAATGAATAAACAAAACTTTCCAACATTAATGATAGCTAAATATTTAGAGTTCTTCATTAACCACTGAATCTGTATATCTTTTTTTTTTTCTTCCAAACTTGGAAAAATTGTATGGTATTTTTCAGAGTCAGCAGCCCCAGAGTCCACAGCTTACATATTTTACTGCAAAGACAGACTTCAAAATAACACACTGCCACAAAGGAAACTAAGAAACACCAGAGAATATCCTTGAAGTTGGTCTGATGGATAGATTCAAATGGCTCTTATGATTTGGGCATATCCTAATCTCAGCAATACAGGTTTATAACAGCCAGGTGGCCTTTCACTCCTTAATCTGCAATGATTTCTACACAAATGCTTGAGAAATTTCAGTTTGCAGATCACACATAACACAAGGTTATGCAATTTGAGAGCCAGAAACACAATCAGGCAGATTTCTCTTATGATTAAGTGGACAGCCTGTTCCACTTCCCTTTTATTAAAGAGCTGCAAAGATCTCTGATCACTGAATCGAGTGGGAATGGGGAACTCAGGGCAAAAAGAGCTGTTGTGAAAATATCAGATGAATTTGATATCAGATGAACTTCACTCCACCTGGCAAACCACCCCCCAGTATCCAGATCCAAATTCCCACTTGGTTATAAAGTGCATTGCGTAGCTGATAACTACCACACCAGGGTCACCAGCACAGATGGTCACATAGATCACATGCATGTGTGTCACTCACTCACACATA